TATAGCGGGACAAAGCTGGCCGYGCTGRCGATGGGATGCAACATTTTCATGTGTTCAAAGTACCGGTACAACGAATTTTTGGTTAAATGATCGGTTGAAAACGAAATGCTAGCCGCTGTTGTGTGGTCATTTTCACTTTCAGTGCAGAAGAAAAAAATTACAACAGCAATGCGGCACRAGAAGAAAGAATTATGCGTAAACCCAAATTGGAGATTAATGCATGTATGCCCTAARGGAAATACGGAATATATAATATAAAGAAATGATATTTAAACACCTTCAMAGTTGCACATAACGCCCTGAAAGTGCCAAGCAATTTTCAGTACCAATTGGCAAYGTGGAAGGACAYACTAACCATCTTGGTTGCGTTCGAAGTGCATCTAAGACCTCTGGCGTACTTTGGGTCCGTCAAGGGGTTGCAATGCAAYTTCACTTTCAACTGAGAAAGTGTCAGTTCTTATCGCATTCGGGTTTTAACCACAATCACCACCATACTCCCCGAGAGACCTGTCCGCTTGAGCAGTTTGAAGCGAACTTCAAGGGCTCCTGCTACCCGTGGTGCCAGAATTAAGTCAAGTCTCAGACTTGGTAGCCGAAACTGATACCAGTTGAGCCTCCATACTGCTCTGGTCTGATGGGTAGGACACTATATATACACTTCTTCTTCTTCTTGATTGTCGTAGACACCGCTTATGCGTTTATAGCCGAGTTAACAACAGTGCGCCAGTCGTTTCTTCTTTTCGCTACGTGGCGCCAATTAGATATTCTCAGTGAAGCCAGGTCCTTCTCCACTTGGTCCTTCCAACGGAGTGGAGGTCTTCCTCTTCCTCTGCTTCTCCCGGCGGGTACTGCATCGAATACTTTCAGAGCTGGAGTGTTTTCGTCCATCAACAACATGACCTAGCCAGCGTAGCCGCTGTCTTTTAATTCGCTGAACTATGTCAATGTCGTCGTATATCTCGTACAGCTCATCGCTCCATCGAATGCGACACCCTTAAGATCCTTAGTGTCCGAGCACATCGTATCGGATCTGCAATTACAAAGCTTCAGTCTTCAGACCGTACTCCACACAAACACCCCGACCTATCAGTTAGGTGCCTCTGATGCAAAAAGGCATTCAAAAACCCGTAAAGTAAAAATCACAGACTCAGACAGAATCTGAAGTACCCAACGTTCCGGAAGTACGCGTAAGTCACTCGACTCTTATGGCTATTGTYCCAACGGTCTTGCCACCTACATCTGATTCTATCATCTGGAAGCCTCCTGCACCCTAGATATTAAGCTATTTACGTGAATGAACCATTCAAATTAGAACKGCTCTTATCTTGACAGTGTAGRACGATAAACTTTACCCTGTAGTCAYCACAATATCATWGTATTTTGCAGAGATAAATGAGTGTAACTCTCACGACAAGAAAAAATTGAAATATTCAACGACCCTTTACTCGATTCTATCAACTTTGAAACAGTTATAATAAATATTCACCGATGAACTTGTAAAACTMCAAGCCTTTCCTACGGGGCACTCGATTTATGTAAAATTACATTTGTCTTACGGAATGGCGCCACGTCAGTCGACATGCACGCTGCCCCTAAGGACATGCGTTGGCCACACTTGATCTTGATTAAAAATTCAAGCAAAGGAGGACACAACAAATAAATAGGTTGAAAAATTGAAAAGTGAATTTCTAAAGCAACACCACAAGTTCGCACAGAGCCATACACAATGTGGGTGAAAAAATCGACAATGCAACATGCAATGAAATGTACAGAGGCTGGAACCAAAGAAGAAGGAAAAAAAGTGGGAGAAAGAAACGCATATAACAGGAAACAGAATGAATTGTGCGCTGAAATGACTTGACAGYACAGTRAGCAGCCCACCTGGGTGTATTAAAAATGACGTGCACGMATTTCTTATGGACAATGAGTACCAATGAATGAGCGGCATGTTGTGATTACCCAGCAAACTAAAAGTAAAATTAGTTTCATACAAAATTTTGGCAGCTTTWAGGAAATAATGGAAATGGGTGCAAATAGGGACTAGCATATTCATTTTAAACATTTAATAATAAGTACGGTGGAAAGATAAAAATTGTAATGTCAAACAGACCCCTAATGTGGCAATTAAGAGAATTTCAGCAAAGGAAGCTCTAATTAGTCTCAATTTACCATACAATTGAAGGACTAAATAATTATTTAATTAGTGCTTAATTGATAATAAATTATCGCCRAAGTCTCATGCAACCCTGTGAAAAAGAAAAATATTGCTAACTCTAAAATATCTCCAAAAACCCACAATGAGTTTGRAATTTCCTCTAAAAAAATTAATTTGAAGACAAAATTCGATTGTATTCATTTGTTTCTAAATTGAGTTAAATTTCATGCCACCCGTTATCAATTTGTATTTTAAAAATTAAAAAAAGCGATTTTCGGAAGTACTAAATTCGAAGCTCAAAACTTATGCACATTTGAGTTCGAAACGGGTATTATATCTCTGACAAAGAGCAGACTATTAGAAGAACTAACAAAYATCAAAGGAATAGATTTCTAATGACAGGAAAAATAGGTCGATCAGATGTTGGATAAAGTGTTGCCAATGGTTATGTTGGGTAAGATAGAACTAAAATAAAATCAAAGTAGATAAAAAAAAGGAAGCAACTACTCCCTTGCTTCGGCAGATGAGACGACAGTTGGGGTAGAGCCAAGAGGTACTTGGCCAATATTAAAGCTGGATATGAACACTATAAAAGAGTTGACTGAGGAATCAACTTGTGGCAGCAGAGGAGGATAGAGATATCATCTTCCGTCGTTCCCTCGGCAGAATTTTTGTCTGACCCAAGGCCTATCAACTCAGCAGCATTCCGCTAACRTGCTTGAGAAAGGCTTTTTAAAACTACAATAACAAGAACAGAGTCATAATCTCTGCTTGAAGGACTATTTGGACAACTTAGCTAACAAGCTTTTTTAGAATTGACGACTTTAGAGTGAGTCAAGAAAAAAATGAAGTTTTTTAACTGTTGACAGTTAGAACTCAAGTAAACTGTCAAAATTGTTCAATTGGTGTCATAATATTTTGAAGGAATCTATTAAGCATATGTATCCAGCATTATTATGTATTGGGTACAATAAAAAAAAAGTTCGGTAAAAAAACATTGAAAGCCAAAAATACTGGACCATTATACAAGCGCCATCACCACTGACGATATTCTTCAAAGAAACAGCAATACCGCAACTCGCATCGTTGCAACTTTGTATGCCGCATCTTTCATTTATTTTCAGTCTCACAATTGCTCGTCGCCTCTAAATCAACAATATCTTAACAGTACCTGCCTTGCGCACAACTGATTATAATATTTACTTGCAATTTATCGCAATAAACGAGAAAATCGAAATGAGATACGCATCTTCGTTAAGCGTGTGTGGCACACCATGAGTCCGTGAGTGTGTCTGCCCACCACAACGTGGGGCTGCAACTCCGGCGTCCGACGCATTCTCTGACCAGCCAGCACTGCAAGTRCCGATCATGGCGGYAAGCCTTCTTCTTTAGTTGTGCTTGCMTGCCCTTTCATGTTCCTCTCACTTAATACCCCTCTTCCTCTCCGGTTGCAACTCTCGATAATGCAATAAATTTTAATAAAGTTGTCATACATGTTGGTCCTGACAAGAATTGCAGAAAAATATACTTTACCGATAAGCCAGACAACAACACACTCGTAAATAGGGGACGAACATATCCAGTAGGAGGGCCCTGGCGCAACAGAGCTCATGTATGTTTCTCCGCTTGGACTGAAAAAACGTCGGCTGTTCCCTTTGTGTGCATGCGCGTCGGTTTGTGCTGTATCATGCCGAGCCGTGCCATGCCATGCTAAGCGGCGCTTTTGCTAACCGAGTGCACACGGTCGGCAAAGTTATAAAGATGTAATCTATTTAAAATACGCGCTTTTTACATGAGTGTCAAAAGAAATTGCGCAATCTCGTTGTGTGAGTATGGCGTCAAGCCCAGCGAGAAATTCGGTATGCATGGATTGTGGGGCTCAGGAAGAACGGTTAATTGTAATCAAAAATTTATCCAGAAGTTTAAAGAATCRGACTTTTTACATCGAAAGCTAATATGGGGAATAGAGGCTTATTCCCCTTTCATCTTCCTTGACACCTCTCTGATTTTGTAAACTTCGTTCGAGACAAAGGGTGAAACTGATCTTCAAGCTCACGAAAGTATATATTCACTTGGAGGACTCTTCAAGATCATGAAGGTAATATACATAGTACATATTCTTCGAGGACAACAGAGAAGAAGCATACCCTTTAAGAGATTTCAGATTCCTACGTTCTTCGCTTCCCTTCACTTCAACTTAATGCCTAGACCTAGAACATAGGAACTTGACGTAAAGCTGTCTAAGGTGGGTATTAGTCTGCTTTCTTAGAATCCTCCCAAGAAGAAAACTCTAGTGAAGAGGCAGAGAAACATTCACAGACTAATTGGAACATCCTGAGTGGATTCATCAAAAATCAGACCATTTGAGGTTTACGAAGCTGCACCAGTTATGTTCGGTTTCCTAGTGAATCTTGAGTCATTAAGAAATAAATTGRAAGCACAATGCACGAATCAACAACGGGTTRTACSGTTTCAGCAAAATCCACTTAAGGCTGAAGTCCTTCTTTTAATGTATACTAGTACACTTTTATATACTGACTTTAATCGTACAGACCCTTTTTCGATCAAGGTTAGCTTGGCAGCCGAGAGCTTCGTAAAGTGTCTTAAATTTACATACGGTCTTATTATATTATCAACAAGAGCTTTATCTCAGACTAACTACAATATTTTTTTACGATTTTCTTTAGCTTTTTAGCCATATATCATACAAAAGAAATGTATTTATTAATTTAGCAAGTTCCCAGCGTAACTCCCCTTCTCGCCTCTCTCTCTCCCTCTCTCTCTCTCTCTCTGCTCTTACCACAAATAGCAAATGGTAATAATTTTTCAATTTTCTCCATTACAGATCCCCTGACAGCAATGATTACCGATCGCAACAAATTCAATTTTGTTACGATATGCATTGGTTTAGGCTTCCTGCTCACCAGCACAAGCGTGGCGTCCGCGCAAGCAACGAGCAATGCGCAGCAGGAGACAAATCAACAGCAGCAGCTGCAAACGCCTGAGCAAAACCAGCCGGCTATCGCAACTATAACAGTAGTGGACAACAACAAGGATGAGAAGACTAATGCGATTTTAAATGAGCCAATAAACGATGTGGGTACGTACAAAAAGGGTATTACAAATATAATAGAATTATGTGATAGAAGTACGAATGAGAAAAAAACAGAAAGCAAAAAATTATAATTTAATGGTGAAATTGAAAACGAAAATCATTGGCGAATATTTTCGATTCACGAGAAAACGCATTGCTTTTTCAAATGTTCCACTCTAAACTATTTTTCAACTCAAGATMTATCGACCTACACTAAATTCGTCTTGGAGTGATGGGCGACCTCGATTGAACTTACCATCAATTTACGTGGAAAATAATCGCATAAAAATGTTCGTGATTTATTTCCAATTTTTTGATCGAAATGAATATTTTAAGTTACTGTAAACAACATAAATAGCGCTCTTGTGAAAGCATTTTGAGTAATGTCAAACTTTATGATTAAATTCCCGTATTATAAAAGGCAAGCTCAAATGTCAACGATCGTGGCAGTACTGTACGTTTAACAGACTATGTTAGGCTTGCGAGGAGGTGCTTAACCGAAGTATCGGTGTACTATTGCATTTAACTGTTATATAAACTGACTGATCGAAACGGGAATTTTAACATACACGGCGGCCTATTTCCCGATACCTTCTTCAGTGTATCATACCGTGGGGATCCCAAAGGCTTACAACGTAGTGTTGCCAATGCAGCACAAGTGCACAAGAGATGTTCCATTGTCTATAGATAGCAGGTTTAGAATCACTAAAGTTCTTGTTATGCACAGCGCAGCGATTCTCTCAACCTTTCCATTGGCTTCTGGTGGGTAGATTTCCATACGCCTGTCCACCGTACTCCTGCACCGTAAAGCAGAGTTGGTCTTACAATAGCTGAGCATTTGCCTACATTGCTAYCTTAAATCTAGATAAATATCTCTATAAAAGATCTTTAATCCTTATTAAATAAACTTAAATCGAGGCGATTTTTATGCTACTTAGCGGTACAAGGGAATATTCGACGTCACATCTCTGACCAAGTTCTTGAAACAGAGAGAGGTAAAAGAAGAAAAGGCTATGTGGAACTTCCTGATTGAGCTCCGTGATATCATAAATCAAGAATGATTTTACTCGATCCACGTGGAGAAGAAATTGTGCCYTCGCTTCAACCATGCCTAAAGCGATGAAAAGTAAAAAATAAGATACCAGTTTTTTGTATACTTGCGAGTTTCATTCAAAAATTTCATCCACTCATCAATTATTGAATTTTGTATCTGATTGACATTCCCTTAAACTATCTCAACGCTGCTTTCAAATACCCACATTACGTAATACGAAAAAGTTGCTATAGAAATGCAAAAAATGAATRCAAACTCCAACTCAGACGCAACAAAAAATACAACAAACAATGACACTGCATTGACAGCAGCTGCTGCAGTAACAATAATGAAAAGCAACAACAACAATAGCACTGTCAACTATTATAGAGCTTAGCATTGTTTGTATATAAATAGCGAACAAGTAGAAATGCCAACACCAAAATATAATTATGACGAAATTTTCAGAGGCAATCGGCGCGGCGGCGCATTTTTCAACGAACCGAAAAAAGTTGGCAAAAAATCAAAGTAGCAAAAAATTGAAAGTGATGCTGACAAAGTGGCAGCAATGACCGTGCGCAACAGTCGCCGCAGAGTCATAASAGACAGCGCTGTCCCAGAGGCACACAGCGCGCTAGCTGTGACGGGGTGGCGTTGTTGGTGGCTGTGGCAACGTCAGCGGACGCAGTGTGTCTCCAAGAAACGAGCTGTGTCAGCTTAACTGTTGTTTAATGCCGCATGCATATTTGTTTGTAGCTCGTTTTTCCGGCGGTGTGTGACGTTAATCGAATTTGACACAGACTCCGCACATGCGCATGCGCACGAGCACATTGCAAGTTTGTTGCGCCCCACAATAAAATGCATTGTTTACGTTGTTATGATGTGAATGTGGCCGCTTTTTTGTTTTTTTTTTTTTWTTTYTTTTTTTTTTAATTTTCTGTTGCCGCTGCAACAGCTGTTGTTTGTTTTCGTCGTCGCGTCGACAATTCATGCTTTTTCACATATTCACCAAAAGCACATGCGGCGGCACTGGCACTATTTGCATACTGATTTGTCCGTCATTGCCGGCAGTTGCCCCAGCTACCAGTCAACATTGCTGCAACTGCAGCAGATCCTTGTTTGCGCGCGCCCCAGTTGCCCCGCTTGAAGTCTATTAAATCGCCAGCTATTGACTATTATGAAGCCTTCTTGCTGTAATGACAAATTTGCCGCCGTGTTTGGGGCAGCGGGTCTACTGCCACTACGCCGCGTCTACTTTGCATGCTTCGGCACGTTCGAAGGCACCAAAAGCGAGTTCGTGTCTTAAGTCTTTTGTTTGCTTCGTGCCAGTTGACTCGTTTGTTCGTCAAAACACTGGCAATTTGGTGGAAATATGTAATGATTTATGTGTGTGTTTGTGGCATATTTCAATTGAGTGTATGCGTTTGCGTGTGTGTGTGTACATGCGTCGATCTCTGTGTATTTGTCGTATTAAAATGGAAAGCGATTTGTCAGGTTTTAGCAAATAATTTATCAGCAAGCGCAGCAGCGTTTATTTTCTTCTTCGCCATAAACTATACATACACATATGTGTGAGTGCGCATGTATGTGTGTGTGTATGTGTGTATTTGTAAAGTACTTTGATGGTCAGAGCAAGTGCAACCGCACATAAACCCTCCGCGCGTTCACTTTCCGCTTTTTATGCCGCTTGCCAATAAAAAGCCGCTTTGCCAACTACTTCTTTTACTAGTTGTTGTTGTTTTTTTCTTTACTGTTGCTGTTATTTCTAAATCATCCAACCATTTGCTCATCCGTCGTTCACCACAGACCGCTCCAGCCACCACAAGCGCGCGCCTACTTGCAACGCATCCTTTCTGTGCTCAAACCAACTTGCATCGTATTTATTTGCATGTGTGTGTGTGTAAGTGTGTTTGTTATCGTACAAGTGTACGAGTGAATGAGTGATTGACCATCAAACGACCATTGAACATTGCTGCGCATTTCGACTACTTTTGTTTTTATTTCGCTTTTATGCGTTTCGACGTTTCGGCTTTTTGCTTAGCGYTGCATTGCCACAATTCCAACAACACAAATGCCACAAATGTTGCAACGCCAGCCACCATATAACCGCATAAGCACATAGTCACAGCCATTTAGCCATTAGCGTGATTGGCGAATATGGTTTCTGATGCACTGATCTTCGCCATATACATACATAAATCACACACACATACAGTCATAAATACACAATCTTTGTTGCTAGTTGTGTTGCTGATCTTTCGTCTTTGTTGTCAAAACATTTATCATAGCAAAAATTACACAGCTACATTCACATACACATGCAGCACATACAAAAAAGTATAACTGTATATACAATGTATATGTAAGTAATATATTTATTGCATTCGCCACAAGTACTTGTACCACCTGTACCTGCTGTGGCACGCGTGTCGCCGCGTCATTTGTGGCCATTGTTAGTTCAAGTTCAAGTCCAGTCGCTCGGCAGGAGCTTGTTTACCTAGTTTCATTTATGATTTGCTTAAATGTTTATATTTTGTTGTATTTACCATTTTTCTTCTTGTATTTTCTGCGCTTTTCAACACTGTTTACATGTGTAACTCTTCATTTTCTTTGTAGATATTTTTTGGATTGTTTTTTGAGCGATCAGTTTGACTGACAGCTATATGTTATAGTAGTCCGATCTATACAACATGTTCGGAGACTGTAGAGTTGCCTTTGAAAACCATCCAAGTCCAAATTTCATGAAGATATGACGGCAAATAAAAAAGTTTTCATACGAGGACTTGATATTAAACGATCAGTTTGTATGACAGCTATATGTTATAGTGGTCCGATCTGTACAATGTACCCAGATATTTGTAGCATAGCTTTGAAGAATGATTTTTGTTAAAATTCGTGCAGTTATCTTGTTAAATAAAAAGTTTTTCAAACAAAAACTTGATTTTGGTTTTCGGTTCGTTTGGCAGCCATATCGTATAATGGGCCGACATCGATGGTTCCGAGAAATAAGCAGCTCCTTGGAAAGAAAAGGACGTTTGCGAAATTTCAGCTCAATATCTCGAAAATCGAAGGACTAGATTGCATATACACAGACAGACAAAAAACCGAGTTTTTTTGCAAAGCAGGGTTAAATCACACTAACTGATATTCACTGGTATATAACCATTGCAGGTATCAACGATGTAATCTATATAGGTATATCGAGCACAGAAAACRGTTGCTCTCTAGTCAGCCCTAAATAAATGGTTGTTTCAAACTCGGCGACCAGAAGTCTATCTTTTCGGTAGAAGTTTTGGGTTTAAGAGTACATACCAAGTGGACTTATTTAGTAGCTCCATTAATTTCTATTGGATAGGCATAACTTAAAACGATATCTCGTGTCAACATGAAGTCTTACTGTTAGACTATTTCTGGTGAGCCTACGTCAAGTCTATGGTCTATGCCAATAAGATAGCGGCGATTGATGAACTTCGTACCAATATCTAATGTGAAATTGAAGCAGTATCGCCCGATTTATGCTTGAAACCCGTCGATAATTGTGTTCAACGACTGGACTTCTGCAAGCGTGCCCGTGGTGGCCATGCAGTTTCATAAAGAATTTCATTGATATTCCAAACCGTTATTGTTTTATTAAAAAACATGTGTAGCGCTCTTATTGAACAACCTGTTGTGAAAGACTTCTTTGGAATGTAAAAAAGACAGGATAAATATTTCATCAAATAATAATTGAATTCATACATAACTTGTAGCTGAGGCGGATATGTGGTTGGAATTGCTATGGATCACAAGATCTTGGATCAAGGTGTTGTTAATGACACAAAGCAATAAAGGAAGAACTCAAAACAAAGACCAATGTACCACCAAAAAGTACAACAATTTTTTTCATTTTGTCAATTGTCAAAAATAAAGCTTTCAATAGACATAAAGATCCCACGCTACAAGTTAAAGTATTAATTATAATTTGAATCAACCCTGATTAACACACAGAAATAAACCAATTGTGAAAATTAATATAATTATCGTGAACCATGATATTTTCCACAATTATTGCATGCACACACATAAAAATTAATTCATGGAAGAAATTCAATAGAGACAACCATTAACATTTCTCAAAGTCCAGCTCTCGGAAAGCCAACAAATGTCATATACATACGTGTGCGCCAAGCCAATACTAATCAACACAGTCAAGAGAGTCAAAAGCAACAATAAAGAAGACATTCAAGCTATCGGCGAAAATGAAAACAAAAATCAAATCAAACAACAACAGCAGGAGCAACAATAACACACACACACACACATAGAAGCAAAAAGAGACGAGCAAACTGAACAATCAACTAACACAGCAACCAGTAATTTCATTGACTGGCATTATTAACGCACTAAAAGTGGTAATCAACATTGTTGTGGCAATTGKAGATACATCATAAAATAATTTGCACAATTTTTTCGCTTCGACGCCTCAAACGAAACGATGAACCGAACGGACGTAGCTGCGCATAGCTGATTGCCCGCGACGYGATGCTACGGCCACATTGAAAACGAAGACGACATTTGATACCACAGRTAGTTAGTAGAGCTGTTAAATGCAGCAGCGGCAATAACTGGGCTGCACTAATAGGCAGGCTGGCAAGTGGGCAGGCGGACAGACGGCCAGATGGACGGACGACAGAGCACAGACTACAAACTGACAGGCCGAACGAATRCCGACAACCAAACAAACAGTGAAASCACAGAGCTTAGCGGAAGGCGGCGGAAAGGTGGCCAGCCAACAAGACGGTGATGATGRCTGGGKRCCGGCGGTGGTGGTTGTGGTGTTCGTGGAGCTGGTTGGRGCAGGCCTACCATAGTTGCTGCTGCTGCAAGGTGAGGTGGTAGCAGAAACATTTGTTAACACTTTAACAAGTTATGATTATACCGCAGCGAATATCTATTATTGCGTAGTAGGCGAACGCTTAACCGTCGACGGCAACGGCCACAGTCACAGCCACGCCAGCCACAACACCAATGCAACGGCGCATGCCTTTTAGACAAACAAAAAAAGTATATATAAACTATAGCGTGGCAGTCAGACAGACCGACAGACAGCATGGTATAAACATTGGTGTGGTGCTCTGCAGCAAGTCAACTCTGGCGGCCAGCAGTTGGGGTGATGGAGCACATGGCGCGCAAGCCAAGCGAACCACTTGCTCATGGCCGTAGTGCCGTGAGCGACCGTCGGCCACGCGAGTTAATGTTAAGTCGAGTAGCAACTTCAGCGCCCCATTGTGGCATTGATGTAGCCCACACAAGCCCGCCCGGCCACTTTTCAAACCAGCACCGTTGACGGCGTTGATGTTTTTCAATGTTTTCAACGTTGTACGCATTAGCATGGGCAATTATAACACTCATGTAATAAAAAGTCATCAATAAACATATGGCAAATATAAATTTAAAAAAAAATATAATAATTAAATGGAGCATTGAAAATGTAGATATGCATGTGTAGAGTTTGAAAAAAAGGACGTAGTGTGAGTAAGTTGCATGTACTCAACCATATTAATGAACCTAGATGATACCCAATACACACATTTTAATTAATTTTTGGTATACTAAGACGGACTTCTCTCACCGTCTCTTTTTTCTCAGTAAGGCTAGCCTCTCTCTAGTTTTTGGGGGTTTTAACAGGCTATGGGCCAATTACCATCCGTGCTGTAAGGCTGGGAATCTTAGCAGATGCCATCTGCAGAAGCTGTATGGAAAAACACGAAGTGGAAACAACTCAACACTTCCTTTTTGACAGTCTCACGTTTGGGAGGTCATGGCAAAGYACYTGGGAGCGCGTACCTTCAGACATCCTACCGCACTGAGGGAATGGAAATTAAACGCCTGTGCGAATTTGTATTGACTACTACACGTTTTGCTAATTTATAAGTTCGAACACAGGAGTTCTTCTTTGCTATGGCTTCACAATTGCTTCACGTAGTCGACATGCTATCTTTCTAGATCAGTCATCTAACCTAACCCTGCCAAGTGATAGTAGAAAACTTTTCATAGTATCTTTGCCAAAAGAGCGATTTCTTTATCGAATTCACACACACCGGTGATCACGTAACGAACTTCATATCAATCGATCTTACCAATATTCACATTCATTCTAATAACTGAGTAGGTTAATCGGCAGGATTTTTATAGAGTTCAATAATTGTAAATAATAGCAAGGACACATACCACAAATTCTTAAATTAAATTAAAATCTTCCGCTGACCAGTCTTCTCTTCCATTAAGCCAAGATCATTCTTGTAGTATTTTTGAAATGTTAAAGCTGCTCATAAAATTAGTGAMACTTCAGTAGCCTTTAGAACGTGGTTAGAAGTTGCAGCCGAGACACGAACCAAAACAGACAAAGATAAGATCTTTTAATTTTTCGTCTATTAAATCTTAAAGATTATTGAGGAATGAATATTTATGGAAGATTTAGGTTTGTATGAGTTTTTTGAATTTTACTCAAAGGCTAAAAAGGCTTTAAAACAACATAATGTTGTCGTACAACCTAACTTTAAAAAAAACTATTCAACATAATAAATAGGACAGAGTTTTATAAAAATTATCAAAATGTGACTAAGAACAAAACTCTATGAATCTTAGCGAAATAGAGACGGAGAAATAGAGGAAACTGATAAAATGGGACAAAATGATCTCTCAGCACTTCTCCCTCAGTTTAGGCACAGTTGCATTTAGTTCGTAAAGAGATATACTCATTTAAATTCGAATAAAAATATGAACACATTTCTAATAGCAATAGAGAGCTCAAGTTAGAAACAACTCAYGAACGATACGTASCACAAAGTCGCCTTGTCACCAGATCAGCTAAAGATTTGAACGAGTTTTAGGAAAAATCCAACAAAATCTAACGGCTCTACGAAGAATATGAATAAAAGGCCTACAATAAGGACAAGATAATAATTGGGACTCTGTTTATTCCATAATTTAGCTTTCTATAATTCTGCATTAACAGCGGCAAGAATCAAGAAGACCAGTCTTGATAAAATATGTTGAATGAGAGTTTGACTACAACTAAACGCCACTTTCTGTGAAAATAAAATCCCGATAACAAGCAACTATGTTGGGTATACTAATTAGTTGATGCTAAAATATCACAGAGAATCTAATGCTGGTTATACTGGTTGAATTCTATTTTTAATAACACGCTTATCTTTTCTTCTCTCTTCTTCTTTACTATGCTCACTCAACTGTTGGCATACGATCATTACGTATGATGCGCACACACAGCGCWCGCATTCAGCCCGCGCTTGGATTACAGCAACGAATGGCGACCTGTGGGCCGTGGCGACCCACTGAAGAACGATCCAACATTTGATTACAGCCCGCCAACGCTGGAGCATGTACGCTACTGGGCGGAGACAACCACAAAGGATGGTGGCAACAGCAAAGAGGAGAACGACAGCRGCAAGCAGGATATAARTAGCGTGCGTTTTGCTGCCCACCCCGGCCAGCAGGACATTCCAAAGTACGGCATGCCGAATGAACACTTACGAGGCAGCAATGGTGTCATACCTGCATCKTCGCATGCACCACAACAACATGCACATATGAACCAACATGTTGTTATGCCACACCAGCATTACCATCAATCTCACCATCCGGGCGCCGTTAAAAATGCAAAAGGTGAAATACCACTAGTACAACCGAAATACACCTCAGTGCGTCGCAGCTATTATGCACAACAACCACCGACACGTCTAATGCCACCACCCATACAGTTGAACTCACCGCCAATYAATACCTTCAATGTGCCCATGAAACCCTCGCAAGTGCATACAGAGTATCGGCATAGCATGTCGGCGGCGCCACCACCGCATACGTCYACAATGTCAAGCATGGGACCATCCTCGTCATCGTTGTCGCCGCTCGCAATRCAACACATGAAGATGCAGCATCAGCCAAGCATGTCTACAACGGCTTCGTCCTCGTCGTGGATGTATCATGCACCGCCTACCATGCATCACCATCAGCAGCAGCCTCAACATCATCAGTATGCCATGCCCAGCGGTTCGGCAGCTGCCATTTCAACAGCGGCACAGTCATCGCGTATGCCAGTTTCACACATTTACGACTCACATCCGCAGGATTCCCATTACTACTTCAGCTACGCACGTCCCAGCGCGAATAGCATCACTTCGCATCCGCCGCAAGAGTCTTACTCAGCCAATTCGGTACGCCATAGTCCGAACAGTCTAAAGCAAAGCGGCACTGGACGCAAGCCATGGTTGCATGAACTYTTACAAAAGGAGGTCGTAAAAACATCGGCCAAGCCTAATTATTCAACGTCCGCCAATAAGTATGCTTACGACACTACGAAGCCCATTTATGAGCGCATGCCATCCACCAATGCAATARGCGGTGGTTTCACACCAATAACACCGATTACGCACGTCTCAGCGCCTCCAACTGTGGYTACCACGACGACCACAACAACAACTRCACCACGTGTGTCATCAACAGCATCMCCAATTGCTATCACACCCAGCGTTTTCTATCCAACTATTGGCCCTACACTGACGCCACATACCCCCAGCACCACTACGTATGTCRTTTACACTACACCAACAACAACGACGACACCGCGCAMTACTACGTCGACGACTTCTTCACGCCTACTGATACCAACCACCAGCAAYTTGGCGTCTCGACCGACTGTGGCACCAATGCAAATGACTACCGACTCCTTATTCTCACACTACAAACAGCCCGAAGCKCCACTCAGAGGCCCTATGTACCTAATTATTGAAGGTCACTCGAAAGTGAAGAAATATGGCAAGAATGGTATCAATTTGAATCTACCGAAAATAGTGCCGGTCATACCTAAACGTGAACCCGTCGTGCGTGTAGCGGAACCGGGAGAGGAAAAGCGTGGCACGCCCGAAACCTTCCATGTAGAACATCTGCATGTGAAGACGTCGTCCACGACGACGACGACAACAACAGCAAAGCCTTCAAMGACACCGAAWTCTGTGACRACAGCCAAGCCTTCGACGACCACAACAGCGAAACCTACGAAGGCTGCGCCAAYCATGAAATCCACACCAACTACTTCGAAGCCTGTAGTGACCACAAAACCTAATACAACCGCTAATTCCGCTAAATCAACAACGAAACCAGTGACATCAACGACAACAACAGCACGACCCACAGCAACCACTGTATCTTCTAAAGTCATCAGCACAACAGCCGCARCAGTTACAACAAAAGCAACTACAAAAAGTACTGTTAAGTCTGAAGATTTCCAGGCAACATCAACGCCAGCTGTTGCAAAGCTTACACAAAGTGAGCCACTGCTAAAGCTCGAGCTGCCTAATGAGCCACCAMCTGGCATGTCGGGATTACTCAGCCTACTTGACTCCTCGCTAGGCGGACTATTTGCCGAGCAGCCATTAGATTCAATTGAAATGCCTGCGTCCCCAATGCAAGCAAAACAAACGGCATCCACGAAACTTGCGGTGATGAACTCACCAAACACTGTTTTGAAGGCAGTCAACACTGCCACTCCCGCGACAATTGCCGCACAATCTGCAGTAGTACCTGTCGTACCAGATGCACGCATTGGCACTAACGCCGCCGACACCTTCGCTTCGGGGTCGGCAGAGTTTAGCTTCACCACAGATATGCCGCCGCGTGAGGTGCGCCAAGTATTCGATTATGATCAGCGCCCGGAATCACGTCTTAAGGATTTCGTAATTGAACGTTTCGATGGCGACGCAACAGACGATGAGGGAGCGTCGTCAGCTTTCTACGATGATGAATTCGAGGAGTATGAAGAAGAGGACGCAAACAATAGTGCAAATGGCGATCTGCCAATTAAGCGCATGGATCGATTTGTCGATGGCGAAGAGGGTGAGTTTGTGGGCGATTACGAGGATGTGGATTTGGAGGAGTTGGGTATGAGTGATGTGGCACCATCGTCAATACTTGTGCGCACACAAGCGAAAATGGCGTAGACGTGTACGCCATACGCCAAGGGCGCTTAAATACACGCCGCTACAGCTAATGCGAAAATGCTGAACTCTTAACCTTTCGATGAGACCAAGACTACTCGCATGCATTCGCGTAACTTTGTAGACGCCGTTGTCGCTGTTCGGCGCAGCATTTCAGTCATTCAGACGTACAGTCAAACCATTTCAATATGTATGTAATATGCAAAAATTCAGTTGCAATTTGGAATTTTTACGCTCTACGTACTGGTCTACACCAAATCTATTTTTTAAACTTGTATTTTAGACACAACTTTTTACTAAGCATCTTCGTTTGCTTTACTCCGAGTAAATTTTAGTGTATGTACATAACACAGCTTTATTTATGTATTTTGTATTGTATTTATTTATTTGTGGCAAAGACGTACTCACTTACTACGCTTAAGTTTCGTCGCGATTATTTTGTGACTCAATATTAATTTATTTAAATGTCTGTTTAGATTTTAAGCTGATTTATTTTGTATTCTATGCTGTCATCTTTAATTTATAAGGTTTTCAAAAATGAAATAAAACTAAATTATWTAAACCAAAAAATACTGCATCGTTAGTTTCAACTAAGGCTCAGAACACAGAGGAGATAAAAAAATGAAGTGGTAATGAAATGTTTGATACCATACGGAGCGACTATGAATAAACCAAGCTGATCACTGCTTTTTTTGGGACTTAACATTGATTCGAGTAGGGTCTAAGCGTCTGAACAAAAATATATTTTTGCGTATCGAACATCGTCCTATTTAGTTCTTACTATGCTATGCACTCTTCCTCTATCACTACATCTCTATCACACCAATGTCGAGAGTTTACCTAAGCTCTGTCTAAGAATCAGATCATACATATGACGAAAGTTTACCAAAGTTCTGTCAAAGTAGGGGTATTCATGTGCAGGATCGGTTAGCTTACACCTGCTAGAAACGATGTTAATTCAACAGGGTTCAACAAATGATAGAGGAGGCTTGAGAGAAAGGCAGCAAGGTGGTATCAGCCTGAACCGCACTGTTCGCAAGAGTTTTATAGCGTTTGATCTTGTTTTATAAGAGACTAAATGGCGCAAGTAACATTTCCATTAAAATATCTCCGACCTGACAGATAGATGGCGTCACTTAAATGAAATTTACTTAGATCTAACCTCCAAAAAGCTGTACTTTCGGAGATCGAACCTCGTTTAGATCATTGGTATGCTTCGTCTAAACGTGTTGAAATGAGCACCGAAGACGGTGAACGCCCAAAATAGGTTGTTACCGACGGAAACACCAAAACAGTCTACAAAATAATTTTAGAAGACAGGAAAGTGGATTTGTACGTGATAACAGGCACTCTAAGGATATCAGCCGAATGTGTTAATCATATCATTCACAAATGTTTAGGTATGAGAAAACTCATTGCAAAGTGGGTGCCGCGGGTGCTAGGTTTTGACCAAAAATAACGACGATTCGGAGCTGTTCCAGTGTAATGAATGTTACAGTCGATATGTGACAATTGATGAAACATGGCTCCATCATTTCACTTCGAAGTCCAATCGGCAATCTTACGAGTATATATTTTGGGATGCACATGGAATAATTTTTATTGCCTATTTTGAAGCAAAGGACAAATTGTACCACAAAACAAAGACATCGAAAAGATGAAAGGTCGCTATAATCAGTGTACTAGCCCTGAAGGCAATCATGGTGAATAAAAAACGAATTTCGAACAAAAAAATGTGTAAAAAATTTCTAATAAAAGTCACTTGATATGTGTGGCTGAGGATTGTACTGCGAGCAGGTGTCTCCTGGATTGATTTCCACGAAAGTAAAAAACTTCGTTGTATAATTTATATTGACAGGAGCTCCAGGATGCACCTGTCTGTCACAACTGAAGCTTTTCCATGTGTTGCTTATTCTGGACAATTAATATAGGGACTAGGGGAAGGTTTGAACCGATATAAATGAACCAGGATAACAGGCAAATCTCAGGAAAGATAATGACTACTCCCTCAAAAATATTGTCAGCAAACTGATCATAAAATCGACCAAAGTAACGTATACAAGGTGAGTGCCAAAGTAAATAGGACTTTTTGAATCTAGCGCCCTCTGGTGGCGCTATCTATATATCGACTGTTGTATTATAACATTTGGTTGTCTTGCGGTATTTTTATTGAATTTTCAATTGTTCATAAAATTTTTTTGATGACTCATGCCCAGCTCTGGACCGATGCTACGGCTGCTGCTATACCGGTCTCTTTCGACCAATTCAGCGATTTTATCGCGTGGCGCATCTTCGACCACCTCTACACCAGAACGAAAACGTTGAAACCATCGTTGTGCGGTGGAAATGGAAACTGTATCGGGTCCATAAACTGCACAAATTTTATTGGCGGCTTGAGMTGCATTTTTGCCTTTATCGTAGTAGTACTGTAAAATATGCCGTATTTTCTCTTTATTTTTCTCCATGTTTGCGACGCTATAACTCACGAACGACTTAAAAGAAACGACAATCAATCAAACACGTGTTAGCGCGTGAAATTAGCTTTTCAAAAAGGTATAGCATGACCCGATGCGAATAAAACTAGAACTACGCGCTCTCAGCGCCAACTAGCGAAAATACCGCAAGACTTTTTTGACAACCTAATATATACGAGTATTACCACTGGTTTTCGATATCACCACAATAAAAAAATATATGATTTTCGGGATTAACATCGCTCCCGCCCACCAAATGTTAAAATTATTGCATACTTCAGGGCATAAGCGATTTACATTGACTTGTCAACGCTATCAAAGACAGAGTGATCGGTTTACGCGCTCTCTCTCTGTTTGCAACACGCACAGACGTATGTGGATGTGTATGTATATTTTTTTCATGAATCATGGGAAGCGCAGATAAGAGTGAAAGCTTATACATCGTACATTAATAATTACATAAAAARTGTAAAGCAGAAATAAATAAAATGACGTAGCAAATTAAGCGGAATAGAACATTACGAACCACATCAAGCGATAGCGTAAAGTTCCAAAGGGCTATTAGACAAGTATGTGATGACAACGCATTGTAACATTATTGATAAATTAATATAAAACTATATGCAAATAMGGTACATTAATAATTATATTTACTTCACATTGATTTCAAAAGTATTCAAATTATTAACCCAGGAAGATATAACATAAAAAGAAAAACTAGATTTAAATTCACAAAAAATTTTAAAACACAAATGAATCAGTGCTTGGTTATACTCTAGGGTATAAAGCATGAACTCGATGAAGAATAGAGCCATGTGTAGAAGTTCAAGCCAGTGAGGAAAGTCTTCTGATTGCCATTCATTTGGGAGTGGCCAAAAACAATTCTTTTACATATGGCTCAAGCAGCTCAGGACTTCCGGTCTTAGAATAAATATCCTCTGGGTAACCAAAGGACATACGTTTGAAGGCAAGCTAAGGTGAGCTGGCAAACCATCTCTAATCAGAATTGTAGACTGGGTTTGGGAACCGCCACGTAAAAACCAACCCCAACGCAAATGAAACAACAGCCTTGAAAAAGAAAGAATTCGGCTATGGTATGAAGATATCCATTGATATTGGATTTGGTAAACTACTAGAATAATATTYAATGAAACACACAATTTTTGGTACTGGGATCTGAAGAAGTCTCTGTTTTTTCGCAGGTTTTTATAAATGTAGCTCTATTTCTTTGGCTAGCACTGTACATTTGCATTTAACATTGCTATTGTATTCGCTTATTGCAAAATTATGCATATCTCCTCCCATATTACAAATCTAACGGTACTTTAGTATTTTATCAAGACGTAATTATAATTTGTTATTACATAAATGTACATAATTATAGTTTTATCACATACAATTCTAAGAAATAAATCGCTGCAAAATGAAATACGCAAAGGAACAAAAAAAAATATTTTTTTTAATTTTTTACACAAAGAAATTATTTAATTTTGTTGCATTCACTCTTGCGAGCATCTCGTTTCCGTTCTTTTCGACAAAAAACGAAAGAAATTTATATCAGAAGCCTCAATCTCTCATCCATCTCACTGCCTTCTGACCTCCGTATCAATTCACTGACGACGCGCTCACTGCGATTACCTCTGCAGCAGCAGCATGCAAACAGTATAACGAATAAGACAAAACGGAATCGACGACCGGTCGCGCTCTACGTGACTACTTTCAAACATTTCTCGGCGTCTGCACGCATTCACACGCGGCTTCGTTACCGATAGCGAGACAGATTGTGAAGAAGCGTGTGCAAATATGCATAGTATATACAGAAATAAATATATGACATATGAAATATAAATAATAAAGACGAATGCAGAATTAAGAATGAAAGAGCTTAAAAACTGCTCCATGCCTGATTGTATGCACCGCAGCATTTGCGTCTGCCAGCTGATCGTGCCGATCGCGCGCAGCCAACTTGTTTCGTCTGCTACGCTGTCGGCATTTTCATTCTCGTCGCTTTATGGGCTCCATACCGGGAGACGCATACCGCTTTTGGCCGCTTCGCCCCACGTTTAGTTCAGTTGCTTTCAAAGCGTTGTCGATAGCAGTTCGCTCGTGGGACTTGCAGTCCGGTACTCATCCACAACTAGTCGCCTTCTCGTTTAGACGAACCCGTCCAACGGCCGCACACAGTYCACTTGCATTGCAGTAATTTCCTGTATTTCGGTTCTTTGTACACGGTTACGCGGCAGCTGGTGTTTGTGTTCGCACATTCAACTTGTGAATAAAACAATTAAAAACAAAATAATAAAAGCGACGCAAGAGAAGTAGGTATCTTTTAGCGCGATATCTGCCACCCCTTTTGTTGGTGATAAACCAAAAGAGAAAAAGCGAAAACGAAAACGAAAAAAAAAATTCACTTGATTTCATGAGTTATATGTTTTGTTCGCGGTGATTGCCGTCTTTCGTCGATCAATTGACACAGTTATTTTGTTATTTTTACTTTACTGTTTATTTAATTATATATCTATATTTTTACCGACTTCGTTTGTGTTAATTCTATCGCGTGCACAAGTAACTTGTTCGATTGTGCTCATTTCGCATGTTGTGAAGAGTATAGAGAAAAGCGGTAAATGTAAAATGTATTGAAGAAAGCTTGAACAGAAATATACATATGTTTGAATATGTGCACTGGAATAAACCCTAAAATAAACTCGTCATATGAAAAAAAATAAAACAAAATTATTAAAAAAATAAAACAAGAAATTGCCACCCACCCATATTGCCTCATCTCTTTTTTCTCTGCCTCTCTTAACATATATTTTGTCCACTTGAGGCCCACTCAGCTGTTGCGTGATCGCGTCTACGTTGCGTGTGCCTTTATTCACGTGCGTGCGTTACCCTGACATTTATGACAACAAAACACATGTCAAACAACACCAACAACAACAATCAATAATTTATCTAACGTTCTGTGGTACTTTGAACTATTTGCACTAATAATTGGACGCCTCACCCAATATAAACTTTATCGAGCTTTGACAAGCAAGCAAGTCTGTCCGACAGACAAGCTGCCTAGTTGTTTACATTTAAGCAAACACACGTAGCAAGCCGAGGTATTTTTAGATACCGGTATTTACTTTTTTTATGGATTTGCACCAAAAAAAATTTTTTGTTGTGCTTTTATTGTTGGATTATTTTTATTATATTATATTTTCCACAATGGTTTATACTGGCATTGTTGTTGTTTAACAGCACTTTCTAAAGAAAAGTAAAAATGTTGTTATAGCATCAGTAAGCACCGTTAGTATGATTTTTATGCGGCTAAGGACTGTCGACAACAACAACAATAAAATATTTTCCGAACCGGTTTAACTCTTCAAAAAAAATCCGTCTCAAGCAGAATTACTTTTCAAAACGAGTTTCGAGATATCGGAAACAAAAGTTCAGTTCACTTTTCTTAAATTAGAAAGACTGGTGCAGAAGCCTTTAAATAAAAACAATTCATTGTAGATTGAAACTCGTCGGAAACGAAAGATAAACAGCAAACATTAGAAGAAAAATAATTTACTGGCGATCTGAGGTCTGAAAAAGGAAGGAAAGGGGCGTGTTTGAATTTTTAAGGGTTAGGAATGGTTTGTCTCGTTTTCCGGCGATACTACGAGTCCTATGGAAAAAACTTATATGGCAGTGTTGTTGGTGATAAAAGGATCCATAACTTTTGTATATCGACTTTTTCACATTACCAAATTTTTGGGGTTTTTAACAAATCTACTGAAACATAGCAAACAACTAAGTCTATAGGCTGATCGATTTTTTAAACAATTTTCGGCAAAAGAATAAGACTAAGATTGTTTGGTAGACAACCCAGCTTTTTTTCAATAACTAATTTCACTCACTATGTCTGAAAACATATAATAAATCACAATCTATAGCAGTTTTTCTTGGCATGTTGTGCATTCATTTACTTTTAATTTCATTTTCTTACGATTTTTTCTTCATTTATTTACTTTTGCCTCAATATAATAAACAAAAAAGYGAAATATATGCATACATAAGTAAAGCACAGCAGGTGTTATGCAAATTAAGCTCGGTATTCGATATTTACAGTGATAATTATCAGTAATGGTTCTATTTATCGCACAGTTATTAATGATAATGTTCTCAAACTTTTTGCAATAATACTAAAGATACCCGTTAGGAAAATTAAGAAGTCAAATATAATAACGTTGCCAATCTATAGAAGTTAACTTTTAAAATTTAGAGTTAAATTAACAAAAGTTAAATGACTACTAATAATACAAAAGTCAACAGGTTAGGCCTAATCCTTTACATTTTGTGCTCTCTGGATTCTTTTTTAATAACTCTTTGGACTCTTGRACCATTCATTCGTGTCAATATTTAAAGCACTACTCACATTTCTACTAACTGATCTAAAAGCCGCTATTTGCACGGCCTTTGACACTCAACAAACGAGCTATTTAACATTTGTTTATGTTGCTGGTATCAACGTACTTTGGCATTGCCTCACTTCCGCACTGTAGTTGTTTGAGCAGATTGAMAGCTAAATGAGACGCTCGAACGCAATAAAAGAGCTAACAACAAACAGCAAAGTCACAAAATCTGGTTAAATGCACAAAATGAAAGGTAGAAATAAAATGTAAATGACATAAAATTGGCAGCGGTTGGATTAAGCTTGCGCTGGAAAAGATTAAGCGATGTTTTAATGAACGATTAGCTTTTATGTGTTTGTGCTATGCGTAATTGACAATTTAGACGAACATGACAATAGCGAGAACACTCACAGACAGCAAGGAAGTGTTTATTCACTAACTAACTTTGACAGCATTGTGTATATCGTGCGTGCTGTGTGTCTATAAATTATGGCAAACCACAACAATGATGACATGTTAAACAAGTAAATATGCAAAATTGGCTGCTTAAACAAARAGGTGCCACAAAAGTGACGATAAAATTAATTGGAATAAATCCGAACGCAGATTGCGATTTGATGCGAAAATGGTGGTTGGCATAAATGAAGAAGAACAATTTAGATATAAATTAGATAACAGTGGTTATCTTACAGGAGAAAAGTGGCGAATTAAATAAATAAAATCAGTAATAAAATTAAAAAATAAAACAGTAATGTTGATAAATAAAAATAAAATTAAAAGTTAATAAATAAAAACTACAAAAAAAGCCAAAATATTAGGAAAAATACTAAAAATAAATAAAATAAAATAAAAAACAGAACGGAATTTATAAATGAAAAGATGAAAAAACTAAAAATATTTTAAAATGTAACAATAAATTATTAAAAGTTAGAAATTAATTAATAGACATTAACAA